CCTGAAGGTGGAGAAGACCAAGGAGATCATGGTGGACTTCAGGAAGAAGCGGCCTGCCATCTGAACAAATGATGCTAATATATCTGATTTTAGCTAAAAGGATTTTTTATCAAAAACATAAGTAATGTGCACACATAGGCTATAGTTGTATTAACTATACATTACTATACATCTCCATCATCATTGACTCCTTCCTCTCCTCCTCATCACCATCTGCCACCATCAGCGACCAGAGCAGGCTGCTGCTTATTGCTTGGAGAAGAAGATCATCGTACCTGACCCCTCCCACCCTGGTTTCAATACTCCCCTCTGGCAGGAGGCTGCAGTCAATAAGAAACAAAAACCTTCTTTCTCTCCACAGTTAAACTTATTAACCCCCCTGACAGTTTGGCCTTGCAAACACCAGGATGTCTGGACATGTACTGGAAATGATATTTAATTTAATGTCACGTTGTTCTTTCTCTGCAAAATGATCCTGTTCTGTATTGAATGCATCACCTTTTTAACTTGACTTGGCTAGAGGGTCTTTGTTGAAGGATTTAGCTTTTTATATGTTTATCAACTACTCTGGTCTGTAGAAAATGTCATTTTATTCAACATTAAACAAACAAAAATATAAAGGCATCATCAAATATTCCTCCTAGGAAGCAAGCATCTGATAACAGAGGAGACAGTTCTGCAAAGAAAATGATATGTCATCCAGTAAAAGGCTGAATCTGCACTTTCAAATAGAGAAACAATAATAATTATTAAGGTATTAGAGCTTCTCCAAACTCCTGCAACCTTAAGAAAACTGTCCAATTAATGAAGTTTGGCTTGAAGAAAGCAACTGTTGAATTAAAAAGGCTAAACGATTAGGACCGGATATAAAAAACCTTTCCATGTGTTTGATTCGATTCGATTCGGTTTATTTCTATAGCGTCAGGTCATGTCATCTCAAGGCACTTTACAGATCACCTGATCATCCAGTCTAATTGTATTAAGCAGGTTGGATACTTGCAGTGATTTCTTTAAGATTCCTGACAAGCCAACAAATGAATCATATAATTTTTAATAACTTCTGTGGCTTTGGATTTTTAAAATGAATGATTTTTCATATTTTTGAGGATTTAAACAGGGCACCAAGTTCTCTTCATACACTTTAAAAATGTAATTTATACCTGGCACTAATGGCCCTCCAGCACCAAGACAACTGTAAACATATAGAGCTAAAACTAGCTTTTCTGGTAGCTGCTCTAACCAGAATAATTTAGATTTATTTATTTATTTATTTGACAGGGACAGAGTATATTAATAAGCATTTCTGCAAAGAGCCAAACGGCTATTTTTCATCTGTTGTTCCTAAACAGATCTTAAAATTCCTCCTGTACCTAAAAACTGCTTTTTCACTGTAAGAATTTCACAGTGAATAAAATATAAAGATAACTAAAAAACAGCTATAATTCTTCAAAACTTGTTGAAAAATACAGAATTAATGTTTGCTAGACCACAGATTTTAGGTTAATAAAATTCAATAAAACATTTAAATAAAAACAATTACACTAAATATATATATATCTATAGTAGCAGCTAAACACAGGATCTGGTTTATTTTTGTTGTTTTGGGTTGTGGTTCTTTGGTTGGCCACATCTTGTTTTTATTTTTGTAAAAAGGTAAATTGATTTCACTTTACAATATTTTGTTTTTGTTTATTTATAAAAGGGACATTCATGGCTTAAAGATTTAAAATATTTTGAAATACTCACCTCTGCTGTTTCACTCTCCAAGCAGGTGTGTGCAGGACTGTACCAT